CAAGCAATTCTGGGCTATTTAAACTGTAATGAAAACAAAGTGAGTCGCTGTGACAGCATTGATAGCGCAGGGATCAGGGCGAAAGCAGTTGTAAACCCAGTGTCCTCTGACTTTGCTCACCCAGCTGCCCACACAAAATGCTGCAACAAAATGCATACAGAGGAAAGAAAGCCTTTAGCTTAGTTATGAAGCAAGACAAGTTCGGGGGTACAGGGTGGTGTGAGGAGAGTTCCATAAACACGGCAGTTGAAAGCAAACAGCCTCGTTCGTACTGGGCTTCAAGAGGGTCAAAGAGCACTAGCATGTCTTTCTGAATTACCTTCACAAGACAATCAGGTCAACCTTTCATTAATTTTGCAAACCAGATTTGATCCAATTGAGGGATTTTTCACAGTAAATTAAACAGCTGCTACACTAGTGAAGGATGTTTAAAAAGGAAGTTGAGCCTTGTTGTGAGCTGGGGGAAGGAAAGGGATGAATGAGTCAAAAGCCAAATCCAGACTTCTCCTCAGACTCTCGTTCTGAGTGCTGGTGGTATATGAATATATTTCCGACAAGCCTTAAAGAGGTAGTTAGAGGCAATGCCCAGTAGCATGAAAGGTATTAAAAATTTCCATGAAACCAAGAAACGAATAAGTAAACCCCTTAATTTCAACTGTACCTGTAGTTCACTTGTTCTCAGCAGAAAGAAAAAACACATGCTTTTATGTGTGGGGAGGAATGATCTACTGGAGCTGAAGAAAATGTACCAAAAGAGGAAAGAAGAGTTTGAATGACAAAGACCGGGGAAAAGAGCCAAAATAAAATGTAGGAAATGTGAGGAGAGGGTAGGCAAGAAGAGGAACAGAAATAATTGTGGATGGAATACTGTTTTTTTATTGTAACTTGTAGAATTTTTTTTTTAAAAAGGAAGGAAAAAACCCAATGTTGTCATGTGATTGAGGGTTATGGTAAATGGAAAGGCCAAAGGGAATAGCTGAACAACTTGCAGAGGAGACAGCTGAAGATAAACAAACCCCCAGACTTTCCCAGCTCACAAGACAGAAAGAAATGGGAGAAGACAGAAACCAAGTAAGGTCTGCAGGGGATGCGAGCTATGTCTCTGTGTAATGCCAGCAGAGAGACAGACCTGCCTTTTCATCTGTACAACCAGAGGCCCTCAGTTTCATGGGTATTACTTCTTCTCTCTTCTCAAACACAGGGCAGCTGAAGGAATAGACCTAATATTGTAGATGGCGATAAGAATTGCTCTGCCACTGAGATGAACTTCAATGCATTCGAGGCAATGAAGGTGAATTTGGTTTAGAAATTTTAAAAAATGTGCAGAATGTGCCATTTTCACTGGCACCCCAGGTTTAGGGAGATGGGGCAGACCAAATATCTCCTTTTCCTGCCATTCAGCTCACCTTCAGCACATGGGTATGCAGGTGTATGGTCACAGAAGCAAACAGTGCTTTGGTCCACTCAAGTGGAAAGTATGAGTGTAATGGCAACAATATTTGTGAGGTGGCACCCTGCTGCTGGCACAGCACATTCACAAATTAACGTAAGCTTTTGCTGTGTGTGTCTAACATGTTTTCTGCAATGCTTTCTGTGAAAGTCACCAAATCACACAGTGGCTGAGGCTGGCAGGCACTTACAGAGATATCTACTCCATCCCTGCTTCTCTGAGTAGCTCAGGGCTATATCTAGTTGAGTTTTGATTATCTCCAAGGATGGAGACTCCAAAACTTCTCTGGGCATCCTGTTCCAGTGTTTAACCACCCTCACAGTAAAAAAGTTTATCCTGTGTTTAGGTAATATTCCAGTCAGGTTCATGGCCTTTATGTTTGGAAATGATTTCCAGAGGAAATTGCTCCATCACTTTCCCACAGATTGTGCTGCGGCTGACAAACCTGTAGTTTCACAGATCCTCCTTCTTGCCCTTCCTGAAGATGGGAGTAACATTCACTTTGTTCCAGTCCTCAGGAACCTCTCCCGATCACCATGAGCTTTCAGTGATAATTGAGAGTCACCTCACAATGACACCAGCCAGCACCCTCAGCACCCATGGGTGCCTCCCATCATGTCCTATGGACTTAAGTATGTCCAGTGTGTTTAAGTGCTGTTTAACCATGTCATCCTCCATGGGGGGTAAGTATTCCTTGCTCTAGACTTTCCTTCTGGTCTGAGGGGCCTGATATGGCTGAAGGTTGATCTTACCTGTAAAGATCAAGATAAGAAATACCTTGGGCTTTTCCATATCCTTTGTCACTGGGGTCAAGCATCTAGGGAAAATATTTACCAGAGCTGAACATTTTGTGAAGAATTACAACTAGCTTCCCGAGAAGGATTGCCTTTTATCACTGTCATGACTCTTGACAATCAGAGGGAGTAAGCTAAGCAACACTCAGTAAGCTGCCCTGCCAGTTAGTCGTGGGAGTCCCAGCATTCAGGTACAACACCGTTCTGTAAACCTGCAAAGCCTCACCTGTCCTATCAAGGACTAATTTGCATAATCAGTCATTCCCACTAGGCTTAATTTCCTTAGGTAAATACACAGTACAGACATGGTATTGTGCTGAGAATGTACTTCCAAACTCAAAATCCTTACACATTTAGGTATCTATCCCAACCATTGTCCCCCGTCTGAGTCATTACAATGAACCATTCATGTGTGCTGCAAAGCTTTCGCTTGCTGCTTGCAGAACAGCAGAGAGAAAAGTTATGCTGTGTGGCTACACACCATCAAACAGGAAAGGTAAGAAACTCCAAGGCAAATTTTGCCTCCTGATGACAAGTGAAGTATTTTGTGGTAGTGCTGTCAATCAGAACTACCCCTGCCTTTGGACACTGTAATCAGTAGATCAGGGCTTCTCACGACCTTGTACTTTGGGACTGCAAGGAGCACATTCAACTCCTACTAGCAATGAACTTACCAGGACTCAGCCAAAGATGCTCAGCTCTTGCTGACATTTAAGTCCTTTTCTCCTTTGACCCTCAGTGATAAGAAGAGTGAAGGAGCATATCCTTTTGTCAGTAATAGCCTGTTTTGTAAGAACAAATTTAGAGTACCCTTCATTTTCCTCTTTTTTCAGCAGAATGCTTTTTGCTACTGGTCCTTGACAGTAGTACCTGGGATATAAATGATGTTCTGCTACTGTCCAAGTCTGTCCCAATTTAGCAAGGGAGGACATAGCCAGGTGTTCTGGTTTGGCTGCGGCCGGCAACAAAAGCGCCACATGGCCGCCCCTCCCCCTGCCAGGGTGCGGAGGAGAATGGAAAGAAAGAGGCAGAATCCGGTGGGTCGGGATAAGGGCAGTTTAACAGAACAGAAAACAAAGGGAACAGTAACAGCAAGGAACCCAGCGTGACGGCACATGGTATGGAATACCCGGCTCTGTTTGGCCAGGTGGGGTCAGCCCGCCCGGCTGTGCCTCTTCCTGGATTCTGGTGAAAATTAACCCTGTCCTGGCCAAACCCAGGACACCAGGCCACTCAGAGATATTCAGCACAATCCTCAGTAATGCATGGCATTAATCTAGCACCCCATTTTCTAGAAACGAATTGCTGGCACACTCGCAGCTTGAGCCACATGTGTCCATGGAGGAGTTAGGCTTCGTCTGGAATACCCAAAGAAAAAAAGGCTTGATGTTTTCCAGTATATCAGATGGAAAATAACATCTGACACTTGCTACTGAAAAGCTTTAAAGAAGTCTTTATTCATTCAGATAACAGGGACTTCAATCAATGGTTGTCATGGGACCATGAACCTATTATAGAGGAAAAGAGTAGAGTTTGCTGTTCTGCTGCAACCTAAAAAAGAAGTTGTCTGTGGCTGAGAACCAAGACTACTCTGCATGTTGGGTGGATTTTCGGCTCTACGTTAAATCCATACTGCCACATCTGTCAAGCCATTCCTATGTCTTTCTGCTCTTAGCACCTGTTCTTGTGTCATATGGAGGTCACACCATCAATATCAGTTGAACAGGTGAAGTACTCAGTATTGGCTCAGTTTTGTTTCATTGAAGTCAATGGTGGCTTTAGCAACATAATTCAGCCCATGTTTGCCACTTCTGCAAGCTCCCTCAGACTGCAAGATCTGAAGCATTGTTCACCTCTGCTCAGATGCCCCTACACCTCAAAACCAGCTGGTTTGCAGCCGCAGCACCTGATTGCTCTGTATTCTAGCTCTTGTGAGTGTTCTCAGTTCTGCGCATGCTACATTACTTCTCTCATGATCATCAAAGGGACAATCTGCACTTGTGATACAGTCTACGGACATGTGAAAGTGAGAGACAAAGAGCAAGTGAGCAATTCCAGGTGGGAGACTGGGACTACAAACTTCTGAAAAACAAATCAGCAAAAGTAAGTGGGAGGAGGAGGACGCAGGAGGGAGATTTCAGCTGGGCTAGAAGACTGACAGGGCATGTAGAGCACTGCAGAAGAGACGGCTGCAGGGAAAGGAGCAGGTGTACGAAGCTAGGGATGGGAAAGTACCAGGCTGAAGGGTTTGGGGCAGTTGAGGGTTGAAAAATAGACAGAAATGTCTGGAAAAATCTGAGCCCTCTAGTTAGGTTCTTGGCCAGCCCAGAAGCCAATGGATAGTCTTTGCTCTGTCTTCTATCTTCAGTTTCTGGCAAACACGAGGAAGACAAACTTGCTACTGCCATTATGTCCTCTGTTACCTCAATTCAAAGAGGTTTGTGCTGCAGTGCTAAAAGCACCAAGCTGTTTGATTTCTTTTACACAGAATAGACCCTCCGTGTCTTTCTAAAGTACCAGACAGTGCAGACCCCATCTTGAAAAACGAGTCTTAATGCAACCTGGAGCTCTCTGCAGTGGAGAGCACACTGTCTCCCATGGCTTCTTTTCCACATGTTTCCAAAATACTGCTGATTAGCTTTTGATCCTATTTTTACATTTTAAAATTGAAGTCCCATAGGAAAGATGGATGCAAAACACATGCCCCTATGGAGCTAGAGCATCTCAGCCTTATCCAAAGATTCACTCGGTCTCTTTCACACCATGTTGTCATTTGCTACACTCCTTTGTTTCTTCATCACTGCCTCTCTTGCACTGAGTATTGGAAACCAAAAGTTGACCTGAAAAGACACAAGTATGATTCTATGAACATAGTATTACCGAGTTAGACATCACACAGACACTGACAACCTGGATAGGCTATTAAAGAAAAAACAAACCAAAGCAAGCTATATATACCAGCAGCTATCTATCTGGATTTGCCATAAATATATGCACGTGTGCTTTTATTTCCAATAATGTGCATATACATATATATACAGGGCAAATGTTTTTGCAAGCAAGAAGTTCTGTTTCCTAAAGGTATTTGCAGGTGCATTCCCACTGTGTTTTAAAAAAGAAATATATCACCTTCCATTTTGCTAAGCAGCAGCTGAACCTCTTTCTCAACATTTAGAGGCTGCTCACAAATGCCTAATGCTTGCTGTCCAGATTGCTGGAATGCCCTTTGTGCTGGTGGTACTTTTCATGCATTCACGAAAAACAAGTTTCTTCTCTAGAGAGCTCTCTAAGTCTGAGGGGTATTTTTGTGGAAGCCAATAGTCATTTGGGTGTACCCTTGTCATATCTGATGCAGGTGTGTTGAAGGACAGAACAAAACAATTACATGTTCTAACTCACCAGCAGGCACCTTGTCTCCGGCTCCTGTGCAGGAGAGCACCGGGGAAAGTCGATTAGCACATCCTTGAAATTAACAAGTGTTTTAAGTATTTCCTGGATCTGGCTACTACCCTGAGAGAGGGAGATTTTTTTTCTTCTGAGAGCTGATGGCTTACCGTTCTAGCAAGCACCTTCTTCCCAGTTTTCTCTTGTAGCTTTGCTCTTTTCTTGAGTAAATTTGCATGCAAATAACGTATCCGTTTCATCTCAGTGTCAGGATAAAATGAAGTTGACACGAGTATTTTAAGTTGGGTCAGGAAGCCAGAGAACAACCCAAAAATAATTAAGAAGAAGATAATGACTCCAAGCTGGATCCATGTCATAGAGAGAGTGAACTCTGGCTGAGGGATGCAGTCATGCTTAAACAAAGAGATCTTGAAAGGATCAGTCTTCACAATGTGTTCTCTCACACCAACGATAAAGCTGTTCTCATTCCTCTGCACAAGAAAATGGAAAAAAAAGAGTTGATTATAGTACAGGTTCCCCCTTTTCTTAGTATTTTTCCCATTGGATATGCAGTTTTACAAAGGACCATAAATGACCAGTCCATACAGAATCACAGAATCACAGAATCACAGAATGGTAGGGGTTGGAAGGGACCTCTGTGGGTCATCTAGTCCAACCCTCCT